TGAAGTAATATAAAAATGATTTATTTTAACATCTTATATATCGCTTAATAATAGACTTTAACATATTCTTAGAACACGCAATCATGAGTGACAATATTTTTATAATTTGTGTAAGAAAAGAAAAAAAGAAATGTACATTCAGTATTATAACTTAGGGCAGAAGAATTTAAAATATACACACAAAGCACATAAGCCTTGATCTGATTTCCACTCAAGCAGCACAGCACTATTAAATTATATTTTTCTTTTTGTGTAATTTTATTTTTTTCCAAAAATATGAATAAAATTTAACTAATAAAAATATTCACAAAAAATTTACCACCTAAAACATTTCCATTTATATTTTTCTTCCTTAATTTTGGCAGAAAATTCTTAAGTAGTAAGTTGGCATCCCTAACTATTACGTGCTAGGTACCAATGCAATCCAGCTCAAGGCTAAACAAAATTTAAAGACATCGTTAATATCGTAATTCGTATTTAAATGCAACTAAAAATTTTTTTTTCCATGCGGTTAAGATTCAAAATTACTTAACTGCGCGCTTTGTCGCCCGTTACGGCTCAAGGCTAAACAAAACAATAAAAATATAATAATATCGTTGTAGTATTTAATTAAAACGGATCTTATTTGCATGACCTTAAGATTCAAAATTACTTAACTTATTCATAATATCTGTTTAAAAATCTGATATTGTGCCTTGCTTGCCGTACTGCTCTAACTAGTGTAATATTTGTATCTCACGCGCTTTGTCGCTCAAAATCTGTTTAAAAATCTGATATCGTGCATTGCTTGCCGTCCCGCTCTAACTAGTGAGTATTTATATCTCACGCGCTTTGTCGCTCGATATCTGATATCGTTCATTGCTTGCCGTCCCGCTCTAACTAGTGAGTATTTGTATCTCACGCGCTTTGTCTCTCGAAATCTGTTTAAAAATCAGATATTGTGGCAAACCGTATGATATCGCGATTCGTGTCGGTTGAGCGAGCGAGTATTCGGTATATCAGATTTCGGAAATATCAGATATTGTAAAATACATAGATATTGAACGAGCCAGTAAGCGATATTCGGATATTGTACTAATATCTAGATTTCATATCTGATACGATTTGTATCGCCCACTTCTACTTTGGCCAATAGGTACGATGCTGCCACTAGAGAACATATCGTCCCCATCAGTTATCGTTTATACGAGCTATATAGCATGGCCGTTGCCCCTTCAGCTTACCAATCTTCTAAGCTATGTCAGTTACCTTTGTTTTTACTACTGCGTATTTGCATTATTAGGTAAATGTTACCGAACGCAATACAAGTGTCACTAGGGAGTGCCAAATGAAACACCATAAATTCATCGGATCGTAATATATTTCATTCATTGCGATAAATCTCTAAACAATGTACGTAAATCTTATTTACACAAATAATGGAAGCATCGAATGCTAAACAATCTAATACTGTAACGCTACATTACATAATTTTAAGGGAACAGAATTGAAGAAATTCACGCTTACACATTATTAATGACCAGACTTCGAACATTACAAACTTTTTGTGTAAATTGAGTGATTGACCGATGTGGTAGCGCTGTTTGTTACGATTCGATACTATTACAGATTGATCTTTAGCTGCAAATATGATTCACTCAAACAACCTATTAGAACTCCCCGATTCAAGACTTTAATTTATGCCTTATACAATGACCGGATACCACCTTGAAAAATTAATCCGATTGCGTTTCTAGGTCTTTGTAGGGCATCGGAGGCGGGCGGCAGGGAATATTAACCGAGCGAGCCAACGCGATGGGTTGTATCGATGTGGAGAAGCGCCAACTTTTCCCCCTGTGCCACTTATCGTTCAAGATGTTCGCCGTCAACTGTAGATAGTATGTTTTTATTTCTTCCTAAAGCACAGCGATACCATTTGACGTCATTCACTTAATCTACACAAAAGGTTCCTTCGTCACTTATCAAATTTAACGTTAAATCTATTTAGAACGCTAAAATTTTTTAACAATCTAATGAAAAGTCATAGCGAACGTTGAAGTTTCGCACTAATAGGTTCACTATCTATATTTAATACAACAAAACAAACACACACACACACGCGCGCGGTCCACGGCTTTACTTGATTTTCAACATATCACAGAATATGCGATGATATAAGAACACGATTGGTGTTGGCATCTATCTACTCACCGTCAGCTGCGCCGCCGTTTCCCTAGTGCAACATATTAAAAGAAAAAAAAATACGAATTTCATTTCTGAAAAACAAAAAACATTGAACGAGAACTTGGGAGACGTACAACTTTAGAAGAAATGAAAGAAATTCACACTTAACTAATTTAATCAAAATGATAATTTTAACCCGGTAACATACTATTTTTATTAACTTATTTAATAAAAATATAAAATTATTAAACTTAATAAAAATAATATGTTACCGGTGTCAGCAATACCTTTTTAATAATTAACGTCTATGTGGTGAAATATAAGAAATCTTAGGTATCATTACAAAGTAGGCCGGCGTTGATTCCGCGATTACCATAGATGTAATAAAGAAGAGAGCGGGAAATCAATTGACCGGATGTCGAAATGTCTTTGTCCCTCATCCGTATTGCGGCCAATCCCACCCGCTCTGTTTCCTTTCACGGATTGAAATCCCGTGATTTAACTGGAGAAATACGTGCTTTTTCTCCAGTTAAATCTATCCCGTTCAAAGTTTTCAACTATTGTGGTTGGATTCTAATAAAAATTAACTAGGCTAACTCTGATCAGATCTAATTTATTTACAATTAAATTATTTGAGCTACATTCTGAAGTAAGTTATTTCGAAAGTAAGTAAATTAAAAGCAATGTCGAAATTTCACGCGCTATCTTAATATTGTCCATAGTATACGGCCTGTGTGAATGAAAATGCAATTAATTGGCCTTACCGGTGTCTCTAAAAATTATCGTTTACAAACGATAGTATAACAAAACTTAAAAATTTGCTTCGAACGCCGCCATTTAAAATGTTCAGTAAATTTCAAATATCCCATTTGATCCTTAATTGTTTATTCTTTTGTGCAAGAGAAAAATTTAAAAAATCATATTGCTTTTATTTCGCGGGTTCTTTATAATTACGTTATAATTAATAAAACAAAGCCTGAACATTTCAAACATTGACACACATATCTGTCTTATATATAACATTTTTAACCTTAATCTAAACCGACAGACAATAGAAAAAATAGGACTTACAAAGATAATAATGACAAATCCATATCAGGAACAATTCTTACGTGTAAATATTCTTGACCAAGATAATAATATAGAGTACTCAATAAAAACACAATTTCGTCATATTCTGTACTCTGAGAATTTAATAAATTTAATTAGATTCTATTTATTTCGAAACGCATAGAAGAATAATCAATCAAAACAAACATACTGATTATTCAAATCACACGTATCAATTTAATCGTTTACACCAAAAATAAATCATTGAAAATAAATGCAAAACGAGTACGAATTTTAAAGTCTTTTCTAAATACATACTAAACATTATATATGTATAAATAATTTCCAAAGCAAGGAATTTGAATAATTTTTGGTTTATACTCGACATCGAGCATTTATAACGTGTAATGTCCATTAACGGTCCATAGATATTTCGAATGAATTAAAACGAAACACTTAACATTAAAACTTTCAACGGTTAAAACGAGAAAGGCGTCGACAATATTTTCTGATTCTATATAGTGCTAAGCTCGCGAATTGTACGTAGTTCACCGGAACAAAAAATAACAATCTATTTGTAATCATTCTAACATATTAGAATAAGTTAAAGATATCGACATTTTGTCAGATACCCAACGTACTTTGAAAAATGTTTTCGTTTCTTCGCTGAATATAAAATAATCATCCATTTGTTTTGTATCTGTCTTGACAACAGTCTATACTTCATCATCTGAATGCTTGATAACTCCTTTCCTTTACGCCTAAATCCTATCTAGGTTTTAACTAGTGAACTAGTTTCCTTACATACACTAAGTATGTAATTAGCAGTCGTTAGTCGCTTTATTATCATCGAATGTAAATTCATTATAAGTAACGTATTATATTTTAATAAAATCGAAATATCTCTCTAGGCGAGATCGTTTTGTTGGCAGCACCGATCAAGATTCAATGCCAGTTAGTAAAAACACCAAATAAAACATATGAGGAATATGTATGAGATGTACTTCGTAATTGCTTTGAGTATTTAATTATTTTCCAATATTAATAATTATTAGAATATTAAAATATTAATTTGACCGAAGTATCTTTCATATGATCAATAAGTTTTTTCGTTAGATTTTTTCACACCCAAAAGATAGAGCCTCTTACTTTCGCTATATCTCTCAAACTCACAAACACAGCCTACTCATAAAATTCGTTTACGAACTAAATTAATTAAAGGGAAAATATATGAGATTCCGACAAATTTTTTATAGTTGAAATAAAATAAAATAAAATTTTAAACAAAGTAAGATTTGGGAAAGGCAAATGCATTATAAAATAAATAATTGCATTATAAAATCCATTTGGTATCAAGTAGTTGAGAAATATAAAAAAAAACTATAACAACCTTTGTAGTTTTCAAATAAATCTCAAAGGCAGAGATGCCCAACCCAATGACCTAATTCGGTGATAAAAAAGTAAATTTGGAAATTTGTTATCGCAGTGTTAATACTGCGATAAAAAAAACAAATGATTAAATAATACATAATTATTTTATTCGTTAATTTTTCAACTTGTTAGTTATTAACTAACTGTTAGTTATACCTTTTTAACATAACTACAGGCTCTCTTCTTGAAAGCATTTATACGACACAGTTGCGCGATAAAGTACGAGCTAAAAACCGAAATGTTGGGCATCCCTGTATCTCTGAGGTTAGGAATCGTTTTTAAAAAAGGAGCTGATCTTAATATAATCCTTTTTTGTCTGAGCTAAAACTACGCAGCGGTAATATGAGTATAATCTATTGCGGGGTCTGCATCTGCGTTTTGCGGCACTGGCACAGCCACTTGATGATGCGGGCGTTTCGTTCTACCACGCTCGGCGGTTCAGTGTTGCGGTATATCTGTTTCTGCACGCCCGGACCTTGCACCTTCGAAAGTACGATATGAATGTGAGTAATACGTTAGCTCTCTCGTATTTCGCTCTAATGAGTGTGGGTGGGGTATGGCCACGTAATAGCTCCGTTGCATAAATGGGCATGCTCGTTAGGGTAAGTCCCACCAGCCCTGTAGTCCCGGGCTCATAGAATAGAGCTAAGGTATCTCCTGCCTGTCGTAAAAGGCGACTAAAGGGGACTAAAGGGGTAACGGTACCCCCGTTCTTTCGAAGATTCCCCCCCCCCCCCCGATACCAAAAAAAAAAAAAGGGTAAGTCCCACGCCGGCCGTCATAGAAGACCACCGTGAAGTAAGTTTCGTACTTTTGTGTTCCTCTCGGTGTGTGGTAGCCGCGGCCTGCTAGTTTTAAAGAGAAAGGGCGTAGAGCTAAAAAGAGAGCGAACAGCGTACCGTGTAGTCGGCGGCGGCGGCCAGCTGGTTGGAGTCGACCGTGGAGGCGGACGAGAAGAAGACGGGGCTCTCGGGCGGCTGGTCGCGCAGCAGCGCGTCGTACTGCCTCGGCTCGAGGCCGAGCCGCTCGAAGAAGTGGCGCAGCCGCGCGCTGCCCTCCTCGGGGCTGTCGCCGGCCTCCTCCGCCTCGCACGGCGCCGACGGCGGGCCGCGCCCCTCCGCGCGCCGGTACCTTTAGTGGGCGCGCGACGGCGTTAGGGCGACGCGCCGGCTCCGACACGACCCCGACATCGTCGATGAGCCGCGAGTCGCGTCCAATGAGCAACACGGACGTGGACGTTCGCGCACCAATTTACAGGTAGATAGTGTAGTGGATGGAGACGGATTTTTACTTTAAAATAGTTAGACTTCGAGATTTTTCAACCGTTTGTTTGGCCGATGATCAGATTGAATAGGTAAATAAATAATTACTTTAAAAAACTTTTAAGTTAAACGGTTTTATTTTATGTTTTTTTTTTGTTAAATTTTTTTTTGTTAATATTGTATTGTCATCTAAATTAAATGTGTGTACCAAATTTCAGATCAATCTGACAACGGCAAGGTGCTTAAATTTCAATTTCTAATTTTGACCCAAATAAATAAACAAACAAATTCCGTACGGGTCGAGCTAAATAAAACCGTTTAATAAAAATACAATGTGTTTTATTTGTGCTTGAAGAGCTAACAGGTGTCTCTGGTGTAATATAATATATCATCAATTAAGTCTTTAATCATCAAGAGGCAAGCATGAATATCAGTTTACAAGACCTATTTCGGACTTCATTATTTCTTTATTTTTCAATAATAATAATATATAGATAAGGGAGAATTCACCTGTCCGATATGTCCGACTTTGAGCGCAGTATCGGTCTCGGCCGCCTCTGCTTGTAACGAAGGCACCTTTGCCGTTTAAACGTCCCCAGTGGCGAGGTCACTTCCTCCGGCGGGCAAATCTGCACAGAGAGAGTTTTTAGATGTTCAATTTTTTCCAAAGGGAACATAACCTTTTTTCTATAAACTACCCTTACTGCAGGATAGGATAAACCCTGTGCTGTTCAGGCTTTTTAAAAATACATATAAAAGATGGTCTTCCCTGTTTAACGATTAATTTTGGATATATTAATTGGAGTGGCGTTTTTAGCTTTATTAGAGCTTAAAGTTTTAGGTTAGATAGAGATTCGTAAGGGACCTAATAAATTAGGGTTTATAGCAATTATATCCTTTTCTGATGCTATGTGTCACGTTCTGTAGTAGCCAGAGGTATGAGAAAATGAGGATTTTTTTTTACCTGAGAAGAGTTCACGTACTCCTGCTTGTCATCAATGCGCGGCCGGATCCGCAACTCTTGGTATTGGGGCTGCTTGTTCACCAGCTCGGTGCTGGGCTCGTGGTATCTGAGAGTTGTAATGGCCATAGGAATTATTATAAATGCGATACCATATCGCGGATTCTATCTTTTATTTTGCAAAGGCCAAGTTTAAATTAATATAGTAAGATCAAGCCGGTATACTTGAAGCATCATCACTCTCCAGCACCTAGGTGGAATCAAACATGAGACAACCATTTACAATATGATGTTGTAAATGGTTTTGGCTATGTTGTTGACGTCGACCCCTCTTGGGAAAAAACACCTAGATCCGGAACAATTTCGTGCATTTTCTTGAAGGCTTAACGCGGGAAGACGATGGGTACTAGGTACGAACCTTGAGTACTCCCTGGAGTTGGCGTAGTCCTTGCGGCCCACGTTGAGGCATTTGAGCGGCGCCTTGTAGCTGCAGTCGTAGTCGCCGTAGTCGTACATCGGCGGTTCGTCTTGGAACTGAGGCGGAGGCGCACTGGCCTGAATGAATCGACGAAAATAACACGCTATATTAGATGATACAAGCAACAAAAATAACACGCTATATTAGCATGAAACAACGAAAATAAAACGCTTTATTAGATGATTGAAGCAAACTTAAGTGGGTAGAGCAAATATTATTAGACGATTTAAACGATGATCATTTAAGGTGTCTTGTTACGTTTTACGTATCCTTTAATAATTGTAAATTCAATTTTTGGTCATAGATTAGAATGGGTTAAAGCTGCAGGTTATGGAAAAAAAATACAAATATTTGCCGATTGATCGATCGTCTACGCCGTAGCACCTCGCGTACCTGGAAGTGTATGCCTACGCGGGGGTGCGTCGCGTAAAGAGACGCGGCGGGCGGGGGCTGTGCGGGGGGCCGGGGGCGGCGAGGGGGCGCCGTCCTGGAACTGCGGCGGCGCCGACACGTAGCACTCGGGCGGCTCACGTCCCCGGGCGCCGTAGCGGCTGTCGCGTTCAACAAGCGGTAAGCGACAACCCCTAAAGGACACTTTGGGTATTTTAGAGTCGCGAACGGTACGTCACGTGTTTGGATTTTGATTTTGGAATTGATATGTTGACTTTGATTTGTTTTTGTCGGTACGCCAGTCGATTCTAATGGTTCAAATGCCATTTTAAAGCTTATGTTTGCCGAAGTTAGGAGTAGAATAAAGTAATTTTTATAAAAACCTTTTAACAATTTCTTATGATAAACTGCATGATAATGTCATCTATTAGCAATTTGTTTAATTCAAAGATAGCGACAGTTGTTAGCTGCATGTCGAGCCGTTGCAATTAGGAGCCTAAAAGTCGAGCATTCCGTGAACACTCGTCAAGCGAACGGCAATTAATAGCCGTCGAGTAGTCGTCACAAAGCCGTCGAGTGGTCGTCGAATAGTCGTCAAATAGCCGTGAGAGGCACCTGGCGTGCTCGTGCTGCGTGGAGGAGCCGGAGTCGGCGCGCGGCGCCCTTGCGTGCGGGGGCGCGCTGCGCTGCGTGTAGTGCCCGCTCGAGCCGCCGGAGTCGCGCGCGAACGAAGAGCCGCAGCGGCTGCGCGAGTTGATAGCTCTTTATTTATTCATTTATTTTGTTTGTCACATACCCTGTGTACAGAGGTCTTCGCCCAGCAGTGGGATATATACAGTCTGTTATTTTACTTTTTTTTTTTGAAGTTATACTTGTTAATGCGCGTCATGAAAAAATTATGAGAGTGAAATTTTAAGATGCGCGCACATCACTGTAACACAAAAGTAATACCTTTGTAGCTGCCCGCTAAACCGCTTATTATAGATGGCGGCATATTCTCAATCACATTCGCCCGTTACAGTTCTGAATAAAGAATGTAGATGGCGCTTTCATAATTCTATTATTTTTATTATTTATATCCTTTTCCAGTCTTTTTATTATTTTATTGTAATTAATCATTTGCATGCAATTAAAAACTATTTTTCAATGATTCCAAAAATTATAATTCCTCACGCGCGTATATAAGTACACGCAAACAATTTTTTTTTATTTTCTTTATCACCAAAAAAGCACACACTGAAACGGAATCTATATACAATAGCCGCGATAGCTCAACGCCCGGGCGCTCGCTTTTAATTTCATATACTCGAGCAACTTGAGTTCGATCCCCGGTGCCGGCACCGATGAAATCGTTAATTTTTAGGTAATGATGTATCTCGTGCCCAACGGTGAAGGAAAACATCGTGAGGAAACCTGGATAAAATGTATTGTGGGTAAAATGTATTTAAAAGCATCAACAATCATTTGAAGACCTTACCTATTATAGGACTGATAGTTCTCCTCGCCAGGCGACGGATGCTCGGAGAAGGCATCGCAAGAAGAGATCAGCGAAGAATGATTCGATCTGTAACAACTGTGTACGGATTTTTTTTAATCAATGTCACACTGCAATTTCTCATATTTACGCTAATGTGTAGTAATTCTTAATTCGCAAAGTAAGTAGTAATTCAGTTATTCGCATAAATAATAATATTTATTTATGTTTATGTCTGTCCGTCATCAGGCTGTATCTCATGAACCGTAATGGTCAGACAGTTGAAAATTACACAGATGATGTGTTTTTATTGCCGCTATAACAACAAAGGGGTGGGGCTCCGATACAACAGACATGATTTTTATGCAGTTTCTATAGATAAGGGTACGGAACCCTTCGTGTGCGAGTCCGACTCGCACTTGGCCGGGTTCCTTGGGCATGTATGGAGTGCAAGAGTGTATGTACCTGGTGCCTTTGGAGGAGCAGGAGGCGGTGCGGTGGTGGGCTGAGTGGCGGCGCCTCCTCGGCGAGCGGCCGATGGTGTCAGTACCACCCACGTTCGTGCTGCGAAACGAAACCAATATAAGTTCACCTCCGATTGACGAGTCACCGAATTAAAGCTTTTTTTTCTTTCTTTAATGTACTCAGAGTATAAGAGAAAATAAAATTACAAAAACTATTTTTTTTTATGTGAGATTGTGGCAAACGAGCTGGTGTTTCACCTGATGTTAAGTGTTAACCACCGCGGACGTTTACAACACCGGTTTCAGATGATTGGGCGCACATTATTAAACGGTGGCACCTTAATAATGGCTACCGGCTACCTCGCTTACCAACGTAGAAGTGTAACACTTCCAATTCACGCCGGTCTTCTGTCAGGTCGCGGTAATTCCCCGGACGGACCTGTCCATTCGTGCAACAGCGAAGAATGTTGCTTGGCCCTACCACAGTCGAAAATGATTGACGATTTTGACTCACGGTTCTGGGTAGCATTGCGCTTGAGCATGGAGATCCGGCAGAGACTTGTGGCTGTTGATGTTCGTGCTGGCGTCCTCTTCGCGCATGCTCGGCTGAGAATGGGAATTTGACCTGGGGAGAGATGTATCTTTGCATACATATCTGCGGGAATGTCTTACTCCGCATATGCGAGTAAGTCATTTCCGCAGACGCTTGCGGACGTATTGGCTTGGAATTGTATTGACGTCATATGGAAAAAAAAATATCCCCTGGTTGCTGCTGATTTTATAGCTAAATAAAAACAACTAATGTATACTCAAGTCATAAGAAGAAAGATAATAAACGCAGAGTTGTATGCCGCGTCTTCTCTGTACAGGCATACTTTAAAACAGAGAGTTTAAAACATTGAGCTTAAAACAGGCCTACATTGTATAAAGAAATTTTCACTTTGACTTAGATATAAGATAACTTTATTAATTTAAATAGGTTTTAGTTTATTATATATTAATGCAACAGCAAATGCTGCCACACACGAAAAGGGTTAGGTTAGCAATTGTAACGTCTTACAAGTTATGTGTAAAGAATGAGAAAAACAATTCATGTTACCACGGATCTATAAGTTTAAATTTTGATTTTTTTTTAGTATTCAGGGATTTTTGGGCCCTGGGGCAAATTGACTGATTTGTCGGTAAGAGACGACAGATAGGTTTAATTATGTAAAGCGAAAACAATACTCTGCGATAAATATTGACATCGACCTCTGGAAAGAGATAGTCGGCGAATTCCCACTTCGTAAAGCGTTCTCTCTGTCGCACGAGGCACTAACAGTTTTGTAAATTAGTGTGTAAGTTGATGTGAAATATTTACTTTCGAGTACTATAATTGGAAATTAATTATAAATTCCGATATGGCTAAAAATGTTATATAATAAAATTTCAAAAGAAAGGGCTGTAAAGATGCCATTGCACATGCTGCAAAGTGAGCATATTAGATAACGCCAAGCGTCACTAAAATTACAATAAATACTGAGTGGATGACACGTCGAGGTTTTCGCTTCGTGAGGACGTCGAACCTTAGCTTAGTGGCTAGTACGTATGGGCACGTAATCCGCAAAGCGCAGGTTCGAGTCCTGGAAGTTGACTGATGGTAGATAGATAGATTTTTTTTGTAAAACACTGTGTACATACATTGTATGCAAGATATTGATACAGTGTCCTATAAATGTTCGGACCGTATCACGGCATCCAAATTGTTTACAAGAGATAAATGAATTAATGAATTCATGAGATGGTGCATTGACCGCCATATTAATTATTACAAACTTTACATTATTGCCAAATATTATTAATTGCGAATAATTACATGTCATTGGTTAGACAAGTACCTGATGCAGCGCGGCGCCGAGTGGGCGTACTGGGCGGGCGGGCTTATCGCGACAAGCTGGTCGGCCGGAGAGCCGGGCCCGCTGGCGACAGGCTCGGGCAGCTCCAGCTGCTCGGGGCTCGACTGCGGGCTCGCTGGGGACACACAAAATGTATACGTTGGATAACTTTGCACCTTTTCGCCATGATGGCTCAATGTCCGGTCGCTCGGTTTTAATTCAATATATGCGAGCAATCCGAGTTCGATCCCCGTTTCGCCGTGATAGCTCACTGAGCAACCTGAGTTCGATCCCCGGTGCCGGCACCAATGACTCTGCTAATTTTAAGAGCTGACTTATCACGTGCTCAGCGGTGAAGGAAAACATCGTGGATCTGCATATTTTGGAAATAATATCAAAGCACAATTTTTCAGGCATGAAGTCCGTCAATCCGCGGTTGGGTCGCGTGGTGGACTATGCCGATTAGGACATAGAGGGTATTACGTCTTAAAATGCGTGCACGCACACACATTTAACAACATTGCATGTGTTGAAGGATGTATTGTAGGTCGATATATCGAAACAAGCAAATGTTTTAATACACACACTCACACACACAAATAGAGGCAAACGCACACTCACGTATCGAGTAGGCGCTCTTGACGACCACCTCGCTGGGCCGGTGCCGCGGTATGACGAAAGACTCGGGGAAGAAGACGCGCGCGTCGCCGAAGCTCAGCGGGCGCGGCTCGCGCTCCGGCTCGGGCCGGCGCCGGCTGCCGGACGTGCCGGACGACGACGTGCCGGACAGCGTGCCGGACGCCGTGCGCGGCTCCGGACGCCGGACGTCCGCGTACAGCTTGTGCGCTGCGGACAGTGTTTTATTATTTCGATTATATATAATAGCTATTCAAAACTAAACTTGAATGATTATCCAATATGTATAAAATTCTCGTGTCACGGTGTTTGTAATTGAACTCCTCCGAAACGGCTCGACCGATTTTCGTGAAATTTTGTGTCCATATCGGCCAGGGTGGAGAATCGGACGACGTCTATTATTCATCCCCCTAAATGTTAAGGGTGGTCCACCCCAAATATTTTTTTCTACCCTACAAATCGCTTAGAAATAATTTATACGGCAAAACGTTTGCCGGATCAGCTAGTTTTTAATATAAAAATTTATAGGATTTTAATTTTAACACGCGTAATAAAAATACCATCGACTAGAAATCTGTTCTACAGAGATCAAATACAAAGCGAAATAATATCCAATATCCATTTGCTTTTACAGGATTTCAATTCAATAAATACGATTATCAAACCAAACGCCAAAACCGTTCGCAGGCAAACTGTACGTGTCTGGGAGGAAAAGGGAAGGAAAGCTATCGAGACGGGGGTGCGAAAGAGAGGGAAGTGCGTATAAACTGCGTTCTATACATACGTGGGACGTGTGCTGGTGCGTACACATTCTCCCTGCTGTCCGTATGGTCCAGGAGGCGGCGTAAGGTGCTCTGCAGGCCATCTCCGGCGCTCGTCGCCCGCCTCCCACCCCCCGCACCCCTTCCTGAGGCATCTTCAAATTCATGCAAATTCAATTATCATTATTCAATATAGAAGCATTATATACACTCAACTACTTATTAATTGTTAAAATTCTAATACCAGCGGTTCGGAAAAGAAAAGCCGCCGACCTGAGAAGAACCGGCGAAAGAAACTCAGCGGCGCATTTTTAGAGGAGAATTTTGCCCAGGGCATACATAAGTTACAAAATGTAAAGTAATTTTTACTTTACATCAAAATATTAAATTACTAAATTTAATCTAGAATAAGTAATGTTAAATTTAAATAACAATGAGTTATCATTTTGATATTGAATTGAAAATAAAATTGACCAACTTTTCAATTAATCAATTTTTTTACAATTATTTGTCAGTGAAAACATGTTTACAATAAATAATTGTCCATTTGAAAGTGCCTGGAGGGATCAATTAAGTTTTCGAGTGTGTAGTTATTTAAATAATTTCTATTATTATAATAGCCCATAAACGTTCCTTTACATTTTTTTGAATTTAGCAATTGGTACACTTTGAAAGTTTTCTGGGATTTTGTTGTAAAAAATCGCAAAAAGGTCACACGTAAAAGAAACTCCAGCCACTATCACCATCTTCATCATTTCAGCTCCACTGCTGAACATAGGCCTCCTCCACAGACTGTCACGAATCATGATCCTGAGCCATCTGCATCCCGATGGATGCAGATGGCACCGGAAAAGTCGATGCTTTTTGTACATATGTACAGATCGTCACTCCATCTAGTGGGGGTTCGTCCTACACTGCGATGGCCAATACGATGGCTGCCACTCGAGAACCTTTCTTCCCCAACGGTTATCGGTTCTACGAGCTAAAGCCAATAAACGACACAATAAGCCCTTATAATAAATATTATATTAACATATAACATTTGAAACTAAAATAATAATTATTCCCATCAGTACAACAAGACGTCAGTGCGATCAGGATATAACAAGATGATTGTCAATGACAAAATCACTCCACTCTCCGGATCATTAGCGAAAGAGGATCAGATCGTCGTTCCAATACTTACAGGGGTTGCAGCAGTTGTCATTGGTGAGTGTTCCGGAGCTGACGAGGTGACAGCCCCCAGAGGCGATGGCCTGGCTCAGCCCACTGCTCACCTGGAAAGATTTAAAGTATAAAACATCATCGTGAAGTTCCAACTTCAGAAGAATCTCAGGCATCCGCGTGAACCGCTGTTGTTCAGTGCAAAAACGAGGTTACTTCTATTAAGAACAGCAAGTAACGAAGTAACAGAACAGCAGTTACTATTAAGTAACAGCAAGTATCAAAAAGAAATGTATTCACCAGACGGGTTACGAAACGGAGCTGGTGTTATGAACACGGGATTGATTGTTGATCACACGTTTGATTTTATTTCAAAGGAATGGCAAATGAGCCAGCGGTTTACTTGGTACTAAGCGAAGATGGACACAAATGGACACATGGATGTGGCGGATGTGGCGCCCACTAAAATATTTTTTTTTAGTTAAAAATATGGCAGGCGACCTGGCTGTTCACATGATGCTAAGCACCTATAAATGTATGTGATAAAGTAACCTTTGGTGAGAATGGCACATAAGTTGTGTTTTATTTACTTATTTATTGTTAAGACCCACCAACGAAATAACATGTTGTTTTTTGAATTAAATATGACAATAGCCTTAGGAACTACCATTTTACATGATTCCATTTATAGGTAGTTACAACATCTTTAAAAAGAAAATAAGTGTACGATAACTTAATAATTGTGTGCGCATATAAATGTTTTAATAGCTCAGTATCAGACCGTAGCTTTTCAATTTAGTATCATAATCATAGCTGCAACACGTCTACTTTGAAACGCCTCCCATTTAGAAACACGAACGACACTTTGCTGTTTGCATACACTGACAGCTCTCCGGGGCTGCAAATTGAAGTGGTAATGTGCAGGCCATATCGCTCGATCCATTCAGTTTACTAAAGCAGAATTTAAGGACAGGCCGAGTTCAAATTAAAATAAAAAACCGGCCACGTGTCGGAACCGGACTCGAGCACGAAGGGTTCCGTACCATTATCTATAAAAACGGCTAAAAAAGTCATGTAAACATTTTTTTTATTCCGTTTTTAGTAGTTGTTGCTATAGCGGCAACAGAAATACATCATCTGTGAAAATTTCAACTGTCTAACTATCACGGTTCGTGGCTAATATTATCCTAGGGTATCCAGTAGGGGCGATGTCTTAGTAATAGAGCCTTAGTCATTTGGGTACGGAACCCTAAAAACTTATGTATAGCTATGTATGCACGTGAGAAGTTATATTTCTTTAACAAAGGGAAATAACAGAAAACTCTTACTCGAAAAAACTCTTTTTCAAAAAAACTCTCCATCCAAAAAAAACTCTTCTTCACTCACCCTGAGAGGGAGTTCTTGCTTCCTATCCAGCACCGTCTCGGACTTAACGTAGAACGCCTTGCTCTCGGCGAGGAGCTCCACCGCCGACTTCCTCTTCTGCTGAGGCTGCGGTTGCAAAGACCTGGGGGCAGCCATGCCCTCCTTCTTGCGCGGTAGCTTGAAACTGGCGAACAACGAATCCGCGAGGCGTCGCCTGTTGAAATACAGACATTAATGCCAATGCAACAAGATCCAAATTGCTTCGTAATTATTAAAATTCCGTACATGTATTGTACCGCACTGGCTTGCCACCCGTACTCTTGTACGTGCATGCATACTCTAACATGTGCATAGTATCTAACTACATTTTAGTAAATTGTAAATAGCACGAAATTTACTACATTCTTATTGATAATTCAATTGTCATGCTTTTTTATATTAACTGTAAACTGGGATGTATTCTATTCAATTTCAAAAGGAATATTTCTTAAAAATGTAAAATTAGGATAAACACAATGAATTCTACCTAACTTATTTTAAAGTGGAAATTGTTCGGATTTCTATGATTATTTCTAAAAATAGTTAATTTTGCAAAACGTAATGACAAAGACGCATGATAAAAAAAAAATTAAACTAAGATGCTATACTTAAAATAAAATAACTGCCTGGCGCAGTGGTCAAGACATTGGTTTTGGCGACGGGGGTCGTGGATTCGATTCCCAACCGGGCCAAGTATTTGTGCGACCCCAGACAATTGTTTCGTATCTGGGCGTTTCTCCACGTAAAAACACGGGATAATATTATCCTAGGGTATCCAGTAGGGGCGATGTTTTAATGGAAACACAATGAAGGCTCACCTGGGCGGCGATTCGAACGATCTGGAATACGAGACGTCCGTCGCTCCCTCGAACTTCTTGCGCACCTCCTCGACCTTGGACCAGCCCGACTCGACGTTCAGCCGCCTGGTCAGTGGCGCCGCCTGGGACGCATGCCTCGCCAGCTCCTCCCTGGTCCTCTTCACTGAGACCTCAGGGATGTTGTCCCGGTGCCGTGGGCCGCGGCTCTCCTGGCATCGCTCGATGAACTGCCGCCGACGGAGCGAGAGCGTCGTCGCGTTGTGGTGGCTCTCCTCGTCGAAGCACCTGCCGTTGGGCAGAGGACGGACTTTAGTTGGACCCGCGCAAGATACGTCGTATCTCACTGTTAACAAATCCAAATATCTTTATACGATATAGAAGCTTTAAACTCACTTATTCATTGTCGATATACTAGTATGGGTTCGGAAAGGAAAAGTTGAGAAGAACGGGCGAAAGAAACTAAGCGGGACATTTTTTTAGGGTTCCGTACTCAAAGGGTAAAACGGGACCCTATTCTCGACGTCTGTCCGTCTGTTACAAGGCTGTATCTCGTGAACCGTGATAGGTACAGTTGCAGAGAAATTTTCACAGATGATGTATTTCTGTTGCCGACTATAACATCAAATACTAAAAAACAGCATAAAAAAATTTTAAGTGAGGCACATGGGTGCCTTACAAACAGACATGATTTTTATGCCGTTTTTATTAGTATAGTATTAGTTTTTATACTGGTATGGAATACTTCGTGCTCGAGTCCGACTCGCACTTAGCCGGTTTTTTAACAATTATTTGAGCATGAAATAGATTTACTACATATTATAGTCCACTTGAAAGAACCCAGAGCGATCAATTTCTAGTGTTTCATCATTTAAATAATTACTAATATTATAATAACCTTTAATTTAAACGCGCAATTCTTCTCAACTTCAGTTCTTCTCAACTTTTCTTTTCGGAAACCATACTAGTATATCGAAACTGAATAAGTAAGTGTAAAGCTTCTATATCGTATAAAGATATTTGGATTCGAATATGATGGGTGCCGTGGTTCGTGTCACGACCCACTATTTACACACTTTACACACTATTTTTTTTTACTTATATTTCTATACCAGATCATTGCTTCCTTTATTTTTTATTTTTTTTAATTTCCAAAATACACGATTTACAAAAAAAAACAGGCAAAGCTCGGTCCTCCTCCACTAACCTTTAATACAAGAACGATCCTTTGCAATTTTTTGAAATTAACTTTAACAGAGAAAGAGAGATGTGATAAGGTAGAAAAGGTGAACATGATCGTAAGTGATTACCTATCTTGGACAATAACAACATCAGTGTTGCTGGAGTTGGTTTTAAATAAGCTCGCTGAACTTGCCCCACACACTGGACAAAGCGACAAATTACTTTTAGTCTGCATCAATCTTCAGCTAAGTTGCGCTATTTTCAGAGAGCCACGCAGCAGTTTTTGCTGCCGCATGAATGGGAAGGAAAATCGGAAATCTCCAGAGAAAAGTAGAAGTATTTGCACTATTTCACTTCGCTTGGCGAGTAAGGTACGATTGCGCACTTTTTTAAAGGGTTGCTATCCCATAAGTTGCTATTCCACAGGCGTCGCAGATGTTCATCGTAGGCAGTAACCATTCAAATTAGATGAACCAACTCTCCGCCCACTTTCGAATGATACGTAGAAACTTTCGGATGATACGTAGATACGTAGAACTTTTTTTTTTAATAACTTTAACTAGTATCTCTTTAAGTAGGCAAATATTGACGAGCGCTTTTTATTCAAACGCAATGTACTCATTTCACGAACGTAATTCATTACGCGAAAGCAATCTCTGGCGGAGGAGACATAAAAAAACGCGCAGGCGTGGCGTCCCATAAGATGTTACGAAATATTACGGCCGCTTTGTACGCGATCAGGACTCTAAGGTCGTAACGGCGGGCGTAATGGGCACATACAAAATGCACAACTCCGCACCGCCGCCACAAATTCGGGCTGTCGACCCGTAAAGTTGGGCAGCTTTACGAGCGACCGACTGCTTCGGGATAGAGCGTCGGGCTCGTAATTCGGGGCTGAGCGAATTGATAGTTGCGCAGTTCGGTCCACAACTAAATGCCGAAGTGCGCCAGCTTCGAGTTTAAACTGGTGAATTAAACTTTAAACTAGGAATCAATATTAGGAACATCAGTTTTGGACTTAAATTGCTCAGCTGTTTTGCTGAGCTCAGGAGAGACGTAATTGGTAATCAATTCTTCCATAAACTTATGAGCGATAGTGTTAGTTGCCCTGATCTTATCAAATTATAAGTTCCACGTTTCGTACAACGCATTAAAATCCAGCAACTTCTGTTGAAAGGCTGTTTTGGGGGTCAAATCGATAAAATTACCTTCAACTGCGACTCTGTATTTCAAATAATTATTTTCAATATAAATTTTACGTTACATATTACCACGAATAGATTATGTAGATTCCACACCTGTATTGCTACGCCAACTATTTCTTTTTTTGTGTCTTTAACCTTGTAACTTTGCCATTTTATTCATGACATAATATATAAAATATATGTTACTATTCATGATTCACTAGTATACGTTAAGCTATTACTTTAATTAGATATTAAGTAATTATTAGAATCAAAATTTAAGTTTAATCTGCAGGTAAACGAATAAAAATGAAAGCTTAGGATGAATTATACTGTATACCGTATACAGTCAATATATCGTACAGCTAATTAATATGATCTTGGATGGTAATTTAAAGTTCAATTTGGATTAACTCCTGCTTATTAATATGGTCGACGCAAATTTATATTTAGCCAATTCACTGTTTTATTCTGATTAATTAAAATTCTCAATTAGCAACATAAATAAACTGCGAATATAATGTTTTCATAACTTCCAGAATACGTTGTAAACCTTTTAGAAACTTTCGTATTCCGTTATGATGCGATTTTTAATTTGTAGTGGGATATATCAGCATTTCATAAAAGATAACTTCCTCTGTTAAGGACTTTTTAATAAATTTTAAATTAAGCCCTAGTTGCAGTTTGCCACTTTATAATAAGCCTACCTTATAACACGGCTACCTCACTCACCATACGAAACGCAAAAGTGTAACACTTCCAATTCACGCCTGTCTTCTGTGAGATCGTGGCATTTCCCCGGCCGGACCTGCCCATTCGTGCAACAGCGAAGACTGCTGTGTGGCCGTACCAAAAACGCAAATGTTTCACCTAGCAGGCTGCGCGAGGTGTGAACGGCAGGGCTGGTAGCAGGAGAGGGCGGCCATGTCGCCGGGAGTTGGTGGTGCCACCGCGCGCGATGCTCATCGCTCACGGAATGCTGATCAGCACTCGCCCAGCGGCCCGCGGCCCGTTAGCAGAACCTGGAGGATAAATTTATCGTTATAAATAAGAAACCTTTATGGGCGCATCGCGGAAAAAACTACTAGACTAAATAAGTTTTATTTATTAGATACTTTACCCTTATCTAAAAAAAATATATTGATGTGTTCGTCAATTGAGGTCAATTTGTTGAAGTTTAAAGAAAGAAAGAAAGAAAATCTCTTTATTTGACATCACTTAACAAAAAATACAATTCAATATTCAAAACATAAACAGAAAAATTGTGACATCAAATAGGAACTCCATTTCAGCAAAATGCTGCAGTTCTATTTGTACTACAGCGCTGATTTTCAAATGGAGCCTAAAGTTGACTTTACGGACGAAAATACTACAAATATTAATAGTTTAACAAATATATACAAGTTTCAAGGAACAACGATTTTGATGAGCACTACGTGTTCAGTGTGCTCATAATAAGCGCATTTTCGTGCGTTTTCTTCCGTGTAGAAGTGAGACAAAATGATGTAGGATATGGAATACGTTGTTAATATAAAAAGAAATGCAGACAAAGTCGCGGTTATCAGCTAGTTTAGTCTAAATGCCGATTAGACGTCAGTTTCCCTTTTGTTCTCCCCTTATATATATGAGCCCAACCTGGTTAATACCACGCGTTAATTAGCCCGAGAATACGTTATCCTGACGCTCGCTCGTTTGACGACGTTTCGCAAAAAATTATCGACATTACCGTATTGCTAGATCAAGCCGTTAGCTAGATGACACTGGATATGGATCAAACGGCAAAGAGTTATGTGTCTAAAAAACTTCATCTTCGCATAGAAATAGTTAACTGCGTTTATAACAGTGCACTAAAATAGCTTAGATTATAATTATACTAGCTAGAGTATTGTTTTGTTAAAGATTTTTATATTAATTTTATCTGATTCAACGTTTATTGATTTCTTTGATTTCTTTGTTGTAGTGTTTGCATGTATCTAATAATAATTTAAATGCTTAAACAAATACTAATTGTAGCTAAAAACTTGCTAAAAATATGAATGTGTGTCTCTGTGCATATTTTTAGTACATAAATGTAGATATATGAATAATTTTAGTACTATATTACAAGATGCTCTTAGAGTTAAGCCTTATTATTACGCCTCTTGAACAAAACGAAGAGGGCTATATCGAAAGAGTTTCTCCTTCGGCAAGAAATCCAAGTGAAGTGACAAAAGTAATGTGCTTTCACTTACAGAAATCGGTAACGATGACATGCGTTATTGCGTAACGCGGTTTAAACGCGAGCATCGAACACCGTAATGTTTTACATCGGCATAACAGTATAGTTTGTGTCTTAAGGAAAAAGAGAATTTATTTACGCTGGCTCATGACTGATGCTATAGAGCTCTTTGTTCTATAGAAAGTCTAATATCGCTTTTACTTTCACTGCAAAATTAAATAACGCTTATCATATGTGTTAATATCGTTCGGTATGTATTTGAAATGTAGAAAACCAAAATCAATTTAAACGCGGTAAAATATGAATAAATATAAACATATAGTAACATAAAGCTAATAGTAACATATAGCTAACGGGTCATTAGTTCGGTCACATGTTTATCCTTGCTAATATTATAAAGGCGAAAGTTTGTATGTATGGATGGATGTTTGTTACTCTTTCACGCAAATACTACTGAATGGATTTTAATGAAACTTTACAATAATATAGCTTATACATCAAAATAAGTAATATTTTATGTATATCTGTCTTTCTGTCTGAAAGTTACGCCTTCAGCCTATTCTACGCAGACGTAGTCGCGGGCAGCATGGTGAAATAATAGACGCATGTTTGTTTTACAGTAATTGTTTATATAAGAAAAAGGAACTTTCTAAAACATAGTCTTGTGCTACTCTACGAGCTTGCAATCTGCGCGTTCAGTCGTCTTCTATAGCAGCCAGAACTAGGTCCATATCAATGTCAAATCAGGATGAGGCTTTTCCTCCAAGTATATTTTACAACCCAACGGATTTGAGTCTGGGTTGGACAAGGGCCAGTCTTCGTGTCGGATATATGTCAGTTTCACGCGCCGCCAGTCAATTTTGCGTTTTTTTCGCTATACGAGCTGGCGCCGAATCTTGCTGGGATACCAAGTGTCTATTATTGAAAATGGTAAGAGAAAGAGGTTCCACAAGGTTTCTGAGGACTGTATTTTGATACAATCACAATACAGTGATCATAAGTTAAATTCTTATAACACTTTTTCTAAAGCTAAAATTAGTAAGGAGTAATGACACAATCGCGTATTTAAGCTCAAAAGACAAGCCGTATGATGGTTAGTTTCCTGTTATGGCTTCGAAGACAAACAGATCTTGATTGGCGTTAAACCTATAAAACATAGATAGATCAACAACTCGTTAAACAAACAACTGGAAGTGGCAACCAGTAAGCAAATAATTATTATGCACGTGCTGCCCTTACATTGAGGAAATATTTTGACGCAGCCAAGATAATGAATAAATCACGATTGTATATTGGGTAGTATATAAACATGAACATTTTGAGTGGTACGGCCACGCAACAGCCTCGGCTGTTGCACGAATGGGCAGGCCCACCCGGGTAAGTACCACGACCTCACAGAAGACCAGCGTAAAGTGGAAGTATAATACTTTCGCGTTTCGTCTGGTGAGTGAGGTAGTCGGAGCCCAATTTCCAGAAAGATTGTCAACGCATCTGCATACCCTCGGCTGTAGCAGATGTCCATGGGCGGCGGTATTCACTTAACATCAGGTGAACCACCTGCTCGTTTGGCAACTTTTCACATAAAAAAAAATAACAAACCGTTGCAGAGTGCAAGCGACCCACATTTGTTTTCTCTATGTAAGCATTTGCTACAAATTGGGTTGTTTGTATTCAAAACGCAGTTCAAAACTATAAATATGTGCATGTCATTTAGAGGTACAAACAATAGCCACCTACAATCATAATTAGTGCTAACCGAACAATATCAATTCAAAGAAACCACTAAACTTTGAATGATCCATACTAATATTATAAATGCTAAAGTAACTCTGTCTGTCTGTCTCGCTTTCACGCCAAAACTACTGAACCGATTTAAATGACATTTGGAACACATATAGTCTAGAGCCTGAGGAAGGACATTGGCTATTTTTTATTTGGATTTTTTTTAAAGAGAGATATTTATTTAAGGCCTTCAACGCGAGCGAAGCCGCGGGCGAAATAATAGTATAAAATAAATTAAAGAACATCAACAAGATATACTCTAGTACAAAGCAAGCTATGGTGTTGTGTTGTATCAATGTAGTTTAAATAAAAATAAAGTGGAGTAATCTGCCATCCGTCTTCCTTCATCTCTTCCTGTGTCAATTACAGGCGCATGACTGTCGGTTCTGCAACTCTACCTCTATCTTATTTCCTCACGAAACAACTACTCTGCGCTGGCTTACAAGTCAAGTGATAGTCATGTAACCCCTTTTTTTAAATGTTTTACATATTATTTAATAAATATAATAAAATAACGTTAACACAATATATTTATCATGGCATTTAAAAACAATGACCTTATTTATTTAGCTTTTTCTTTAACTTTTACAGAAATATGTTGTATTTCATGGCACGTATGGAAAAGAAACAATCTTATTAATTTGATCATTTTATTTATCTTTTGCAACGTCTTAAGCATGGAAGCATGGAAGTTTGAAATAACGGCATTTCAGCGGTTTTTTAGAACCAATACTCAATTTGGTAACATTATACCATGTTATCCAGCTCTATATATTATATATAGCATATGCCATAATGTGCATAAACATGGGAAAAGTCTCTCGCGGTCGATCTACCATATGATCCGCCGATCCTTGGGAAGCCCTCTGTAAAATTGTCATAGAATCTTAGGAATTTACTAATTTTATCTGACTAGAGGTATGTGTTAAATTAAACAATTTTGTTACAGAAACCATTGCAAGAAAAAAAATCATCAGGAGTTCAATCATTTCAGGAAAATGTATTTATGAGGAAATGTATGATGGGTCACTTGAAAATATGTAATTCCCAACAAAAACAATTTCCCGAATCGATTCATAAATGTCGGAGTTCTGAGGTAACAAACGAAAAAAAATATAACCAAATTGAGAACCTCTTTTTCAAGTCTTTCGAAGACTTATTGAAGGAAGGAACAGTAATGCTTTCGCATCTGCTTAGGCATTGCCAATTTTAATGGGTGGTGGTAGATTATAATGAGGTGAACAGCAAACGCGGTTCCCACCTTCTCCATGAAAAATTGACAAGGCCAGACGTTACGAGTTCAGTTACCCCGCTTTTCATGGAGAAACAGGCACAATAGTAACTGAACTTCCAATTTCTTGCAATATTGCCAGGCTCTTCCATAAAAAAACTGACAAGGCAACATTGCCACAAGTTCCAAATTTAATTGCCACCTTCCCCAAAAAAAAAACTGGCAAGGCAACATAGCCAGACGTTCCAACAATACAATTACAATAACAATGATATACGAGCGAACTGGATGCCCCATTGCACAGGTGTCATAGATGTCGAAACGCCGCTCACCGTCGCCCATTTTGGCGCTATCCATAAATTTCGCGCCCACACATCCGCCCGTATAAATTAAGAGAACAATTGACCGCGACGAGGCCGCGGCTCAATAAAGAGGTTGTTATACCCCGTGGCGCCAATTGTGGCCGAACCGAATGGCAAATTAGCAAAGTTATTGTTATCGCGATCGAATATAGCAGCGCGTAGTGAATTCAAATTTTTCGCAGGCATCTCGAAAGATCTGACCGTATGAGCGTATAGGAAGCAAAAATGTTCTTTCACGACTGCTTTCTTAATATCAAGTTTTCTTGAAAAAAAATCTCAATTATATGAATGCATGCTATTTAACAGATCAGAGAGACACTCATTATTGAATTG